TGCACATTGTTGAGTTTTCCTGAACTCAAAAGAGCAGTGCCACAGTTCATGTGTCCAATATTTGGGGATGATCAGAGTTTTATTTCAAATTTTTAAAATATGGTTTCTCTTTTAGAATGAGCTATCTGCCTCCTCCGAGGAAGAAAAGTCTCTTCGCTGATCAGAAATGTTCTTAGTTCCTTCCTTGAGTCATCTTTTTGACTGAAGTCCTCCAGAGTTTGTGGGCCTCGCCAGAAGATCCATCTGGCTCATCCTTTGTCATCCTTTACCTTTTTTTTAGCTTCTTTTCAAAGAAGAGGCTACAATTAATTGTGAACTTATTTGGCCAGGAATCCTTGTCAGTGCAGCTTTGAGAAGTTCCCATCAGCCTCAACAGGGACATTTCCTCCACTATATGTGGACGTTGCCTTCTGCGAAACGTTAGCCACAAAAATGGCTACTGAACTGAGGGCTGGGAGAGCCGCGTTTCTCTCGTTCCAGAATGTTCTGGGACATGGCGTGACCCCTACAAGGAAGACAGAGGAGGAAGCCCAAGTGAGGCCCCTAGAAGCTGATGGGGAACGGATGGTCCCTCGGGTCATTCAGGTTGGGACCATAGGAGAGTTTCTGGGCTGGATGGCTCCCCAAGAGTTGACCCAAGGACCAGAGGAGGGTTTGGCCCAACGCTGGGAAGCCCAGTGGCAGGAAGTCTTGAAGGCAGTGCAACCCCTTCCATCTGGGTATGGGGCTCAACACCAGTCAAAAGCTTTTCCATGGGACTCCTGTGAGTCTGTCACCGACACCAGCCAGTGGTCGAATGGAGAAGGTGTTCCTCAATTCCTGGTGGTCAACAATGGAGAATTTCCTCCTCGGGTCCTTTATGGTCCAGAGGTTGGAGAAACCAGGCCGATGAAGGACGTGGTTGTGGAAGAAGAGGCCCTCTTGGCCGAGGCTCAGCGCCAACGTTTTAGGCAGTTCGGTTACCAGGAGGCTGAAGGCCCCCAAGAGTTTTGCAAGAAGCTCCGGGAATTTTGCTGTCAGTGGCTGAAGCCCGAGAAGCACTCCAAGGAGCAGATCCTGGAGCTGGTGATCCTGGAGCAGTTCCTGGCCGTCCTACCCCCGGAGATGCAGGGCTGGATCAGGGGACGTTGTCCTCAGGCTTGTTCCCAGGCAGTGGGTCTTGCAGAAGAATTCCTCAGGAGTCAGCAGCAAGAGATCAAGGTAACGGAGGGACAATTTGGAATCTGGGCGTTCAGAATCTGTATCAACTCAAAGAGTTTTTCAAAAGTGATTATTTTATTTGTATTTATTAATCAAATTTATATGGCCACCCATCTCACAGAAAGTGACTCTGGCCAGCGTACAATAATCAAATAAAAATGACACATATATAAAACAATAATTATAACAAAAATATAACAAATCAGTATTAAAGATTAAATATTATTGAAATTAAAATATACAAACCCCAGGCAGAGACAGAATGAGTATATCCACCTCAGCAATGGAGCCATCTAAGCATGCCTGTGGTCCCCTGGGACCCCCCGGCCTGGTGACATAACCAGGTCTTGAGGGATTTCCAGAGCATCAGGAGGGATGGAGCTAATCCAGTTATTAGATGCGTAACCCACCTTTTGTTCAGAAGCTCTCTCCTATTTTTTCCCACAACCACCACTCTCTGTAGAAGGTTGGACTGGACAAGAGGGACTGGCCGAGAGTCCTCTGGAGAACCTCCATGGTTGAGGGGGGACCTAAACCTGGGTCTCCCCACTCCTATTTTGGCCCCTTAACCACTATGATGCAATAGGACTGCCTCCCTTGGGTTCAGGCTGGATTTCTATGAACAAAGCCAGAGCTGCCAATTTTTAGTGGTGGGGGGAAACCTAAAGTAGACATCTGCACCTTCTAAAAGTTGTTTTCTGTGGAAGATCAGGAGGCTGCCACGCTCCTGTGTCTTAGCACCGTGCTACTGACATTTCTGGTGGCTTTGGAGGGCTGTCCCAAAGAAATGTGGGAGTCGTATGCAGCCCGCGACTGCAGGTTACCCACTGCAGTTCAGGCCAGGTGGTCTTTGTGTCCAAAATGATTCATTCCATCTTGAAGATAACTTGAAATCCTCCGTCTTCAAGGAAGGTGCAGTAAATGTCACTCAAAATGTTCCAGGGCCTGAAGTAGCTGCTCTCGTTGCAGGAGGGCAGTTGGGGGTAGGGGTGTCAAAAAAGTCTAGATGGTGACAGTGATGGCCATCTTGACTTTTTGGACTCTTCCTGTGGATGCTGCTACCTAGTTGTCTAGGTTTTTTAGTTTAAAAAAGGCGAGGAAGGGAGAACAAGAAATAGTGTCTAATGTTATTCATGGTGTGACAATTTTGTTATGTATTAGATTTTTATCCCACCTTTATGTTTGGTCATCTCAAGGTGGTGAACATTAAAAAAAATCCTGCCTTCTATTTTCCCCACAACAACAACCCTGTGAGGTAGGTTGGGTGGAGAGAGGGGGATTCGCCCAAAGTCACCTGGCTGGCTTCTGTGCCTAAAGGAGGACTAGAACTCACAGTCTCCTGGTTTCTAGTACAGCACCTTAGCCACAGAACCAAATGTAGAACAGGCAAAAAAAATTTTTCTTCCAAATGCTGGAAGAAATTATTATTCTATGAAGCTGAAAGGTGGGAAATTCAGGAAGTCTTTCTCTGGCATTTTTGTGAACTCTGGCTTTTTCCACCCCGAGACCAAGATGAAAGTAAACAACATTGCTTTGAAAGGGGATTAGAGAAATGGGATAAGACAATTGATTTCAATCCATCGGAATGCCTCCAGCACTGTTTCTCAACCTTGACAACTTCAAGATGTGTGGACTTCAACTCCCAGAATTCCCCAACCAGCATGTCCACACATCTTAAAGTTGTCAAGGTTGAGAAACACTGGCCTACAGACTACAGGTATTCCTTTGGTTATAATCACTCATTCAATGACCGTTTGAAGTTACGATGGCGCTGAACAAGGAGACTTACGACCGGTCCTCATAGCTGCGGCCGTTGCAGTGTCCTTGCAGTCACATTATCGCTATTCAGGCGCTTGGCATCCGGCTCACAGTTATGGCCACTGCGTCCTGCGGTCACGTGATCGCTATTTCTGACCCTCACTGCTGGCTTCTGACAAGCAAAGTCAATGCGGAAGCCAGCAGAGGGTCACAGATGTGCCTAATGAGCGTGTGGGGTTTGCTGAACGGCGACAACCGGAACTGTCTCAACTGCCATGGTAAGTTGGCACAGTCACGTGACATTGCGCTTCATGACCATGTCGCTTAGTGATGGAGTTGCCAGTTCCAATTACCGTTGTTAAGCGAGGACTACCTGCACTTCCAAGAACAGAGTCACAGAAAAAAAAGGTAGTTCTGTTCAAGGCACGGGTGGTGACCTATAAAGCCCTTCCTGGCATGGGGCCAGATTATTTGAGGGACAGCCCTCTTTGGAAGAATTTAAGCAATATGAATATCAGTAAACGTTCTAGCATTGAGCTCCTGGGCATAGCAAGAGTGTGGAGTGTAGAGCAGTCATAGCAAGCAAGCAAGCTTCTAGCAAAATTTCACTTCTCTATTACCAAGGTCGTTAGTCAGAAATTAGGACTAGCAGAAAGTCATGGCTTTGCATTTGGCTGGTACGTGGTGCATTTATTTTTGTTTTTGGGTTTCTTTCTAACCCATCATTTTTTTACACTTTGTAGTTCCTTGTGGCTTGATCGTAAAGACACCCTGCTTTCTTGTTTTGAGGTCTTGCCCCTGGCATGTTACTAAACATGTCCATGTGTGCTTGACCTGGCTTTGTAAACGCATTATAAATTTTGGAGACTGAAGAACTCCTGCTTGAGTAGACAAAATGAACCTCACTTTGAGAAGGAGGAGAAGACTTGTAAAGGGGATAAATAAATCCAGAAGTCCCCTCTTGGCTGGCTGGGGAATTCTGGGAGTTGAAGTCCACACATCTTAAAATTGCTAAGGTTGAGAAACACTGTATTGGGGGATGGGATCTGGCAGGGCCCAGGAAGACCCTTTTCTGTCATGGCACCCACCCTTTGGAACATCAGCTCCCCCCCCCCCCCCGGAGATTAGATCGGTCCCAGCCTTTCTGGCCCTTCGTAAGGGTTTAAAAACATGGTTTTGTCCCCAGGCTTGGGGATGAGGATGTGTGGCAGAGCCCCTGCAAGGATTATGTTTATTTTATTTATTTTTTATTTTATTACTAAATTTATATGTCGCCCGTCTCCCCCAGAAGGTGACTCTGGCCAGCTTACAATTAAAAACCAAGACAGAAAAAACAAAAATACCGCCCGATTAAAACACAAATAACAAATCTATAAAAGCAATATACAAATCAAGAAGTTGGGGGAAGCAGTATCAATGATCCCACGAGCCAGTTCCAGCAGTGCAAGCCCCCATCAGGCCCCCAGGCCATCTGGCATAGCCATGCTTTTAACACCTTTTCAGAAGGCCAGGGGAGTGGGGACAGCCCGCACCTCAGCTGGCAAGCTGTTCCACAGGGCGGGGGCCATGGCAGAAAAGGGCCTTTTCCTAGACCCCACCAGCCGAAATTCCTTGACTGGCGGGGTCCGCAACATGCCCCTTCTGCCAGACCGAGTGGGGCAGGCGGGTTTAACGGGGGCGCGCCGGCTCCTCCATTAACCCGGCCCTGTGCCATGAAGGGCTTTAAAGGTGATGACCAGCACCTTGAATTGGACCTGGAAGCAAACCAGCAACCAATGTTGATTTGTTAGTGGTGGTTTTCCTTTTTAACTTGGCTGCTGATTATATGCGTGTTGTTTTTATAGTTATGTGTTTCATGATATTTTTAACTGTAGTTAGCCGTCCAGAGTCATGAATTTGAGACGGGTGGCCATATAAATGAAAATAAACCAATAAACAAACACCAGAAGCTATAAACCCGGTTACCAAGTTGGAATCACATAGTATTAAGTCAGAACCAAATCACATTTTTGGAATGAGCGTCTTAGTGTAATGGTCTGTGGGAACGGCCTTGGGAGAGAGGAGGAAGAGCCGCAGCCAGGCGAACGGTCAGATAAGAGGCAGCTGAGCCCCCAGCAGGAATGGGATGTGGCAAATGTCTCAGAAGGACATTAAGGACATTAAGATTCTGTTAATGTAACCTTACAATAAAGTAGAATTAGTTCATCTGGGCATGCTTCTTATCTGGACTACCTCACAGGGCTGATCCTTAGCTCTGAAGTTCTGGCTTATGGGAACTGCCTCTTCTGTTTCAGGTGCTGGAGCCATGCGCGGCAGTGGTGATGATCTCCCCTGAGGCTGAAGAGTCTCTGACCGGCTCCGGACCCAACACCCACCTTTGTAGAGAAGCTGAACTGAAAGATGGCCAGGATCCCAACTCAGTGGGTCAGTAGTCTTTGTAGTACTAGTAAGAGTAAGGGCAGGAAGGAGCATTATATGTTGGTCATGTGCTGGAAGTGTGCAAGCAGTATTGATGTGCATCCAGTGTTCTGTTCCCTCCCTTAATGCTTATGCGTGTCACTCAGGACAATTAACAGCAATTAAATCCAGTGCAGCATTTAAAATGCTAAAAAAAAAAGGACAAAATTGCAAAACATCCCACCCCCCAAAATTAGCAGTTAGGTTTTCTGGGATTCAGATCAATATTTTAGTTTTCTGCAGATATTTTGCCCCACATCCCAGCAAGATTTCCTCAGCGCAAGGTTCAAAAGCTGCGATTGCATGCGGTATTTGTAGTCAGCATGAGATCTGAACTCAAGAGGGTTGTCGGTAATCCCCAACCTTCGTGCCTCCCTCTGGTACCATCACTGTCACACCCACACGCCCTGCACCACCGCCATCATTCCCATACACAAGGCTCGGTCTCTTAGGAGAGGGAGACGGTGGGTGGAGTTGCTGAGACAGCAGCACCCGATGGGTGAGCCATCACGGGCCGCACAAGAAACTTCGGGCCTTATGTTTCAGATCCCTGTCCTAGATGTCTCTGATATTAAAAAATTCTGGGGGACAAAAGAACAGGGGAGAATTGTTTGCCTCCGTAGCAGGCTACGGACATCTTCATCTTGGATGCCCCTATTGGAAACTGGATGCTGGAATGGATAGACCCCTATCTTGATGTACCAGCCCCAGGTGTTGTTTCCTATTCTAGTCTAGAGGAAGCCAACATCTGGATGTTTATGCTGTTTCAGCAGGTGAGCAGACCATGAGTGGGAATACCCTGGGGGCCTCTCAGCAAGGGGATCCTGAACTTCCAATATTGTTTGGATCATTAATGGCGCAATCAGGATCCCTCAACAGCGGAGATGGGCTTATGCAGAAGAACCAAATGGAGCTGGTCCAGAAAGGGGAGGAAGCAATGCTCTGTAGCGAAGGGGTCTACGAGACTGTGGTCCGCCTGGAGGAACATGGGCACTGGTGTCTCGAATGTGGTGAAAGCTTTCAAGACGCCTTGCAGCTTCTGAATCACCAGAGCACTCATTCGGGTCGGAAGCGTCCTGAGTGCCCAGAATGCGGGAAAAGTTTCCGGGACCTTTCGCACGTTCTCCGGCACCAAACCGTCCACACAGGAGAGAAACCCTACGCGTGCTTCAAATGTGGACAGAGTTTCACCCAGAAACCAGCTCTCAACAGACATCTGAGAAAACACATTGAAAGCCAGAACGACCCAGGTATGGGGAGAGCTCACCTGCTATTATCAAAGGTGAAGCAATATGGAGTATTGAAGCATTGTTGAATTGGTTACTCTGGTGCTTTTTCTTCCATTTTTTCCCCAGGATCCCTCGTGAGTGCACTGGGATGATTACTTCTAAACATTAAGATACATTCAGACAAGTTATCAATGTTTTAAATAACATTTAAGACATAAATCATACATTGTCACTCCTGGGTGTCAGCCTTTTGAGGTAGGTCAGGTGTTGTCAGCCCTACAAGGTAGACCAGACTAGGAAACCAATGCCATATAAGTTGGGACTGCTTCTATTGTGACAGCTGTAGTAACAGAAATTGCAAGTCTGAATATGCTTCCTCCTCCCTCACTTTATCTTCGTGTGAACTAGGGAAGGGCTTATCTGAGATGATTTTTCAAGTTACTTTCTTTGCCCAGGCTCAAGCCCCTCTTATCTAACTGTTGCCTTGGTAGCTGCTCTTCCTCCTGCCCTTCAAGGCCATTCCCTCTTCCCTCTACAGGTGTAGAGAATAAGGAAGATGACCTTGATGGAAATATGCAGGAACCATTACCTAGGCAAAAGGGGCTGAAACTTTTTCTTAAGTCCAGAACAACAAGATAACATTTGGAAGTGGCTCAGCCAGACACCTCCCTGATCCACTGGAATATGAGGAGGAGGAGATACAGCACAATCAGACTTGTAGGGACTGTTGTTATAGCCAATCTCAATAAAAATAATTTTAGCCTTCCTGTGGAGTTGTTTTCCTGGTCTGGTCTACCTAGTAGTGCTGACATCAGGCCAGGAAATAAGAAATACTGTAACTCTATTTTATTGATCTAGGCTACAAGAACAGAAGCTTGAAAGCCTGACAGTGTTTCTCCTTTCCTCCCTGCTGCACCAAAGAGAGTCAAGGTGGGGAAATCTTGAGTTTCTTCCTCACGCTTTCCTATTTTCCTGGGCTAAGCTCATGTTTTGCTAACAGTTCCCAGATATATTCTCCAAGGTCATCCCTGTGCTCCTCAACACTGGGGACTGGATGGGAAAACAGAAGTTGCCACCAGGTGGCATTTTGGGCAGTGATGGTGACTTTGCCCCACCCCCCGGGGCCCCCTGCACCTGAAAACATGACTACATAGATGCATCTGGATTGCTGACAGCCGTGTTTATTTTGGTTTATTCTCCACATTTCTGTCCCACTGCAACTTAGAGACCCTTGATGGCCTGCATAGAGCATGAACCCACATAAAATATCCACCGTAATACAACAATAAAACAATAAAGCCACACCACCCAAACACAACTACAACCAGTAAAAATAGGGAATAAAGATGGCTTGATAGAATCAGGAAAAGGTTCTGCAGAATAATTCCACTTTTAAAACCTTCCAAAATGTTAGCAAAACCACAAAACCAAGCAAACTAAATTCAGCTTGGCATAATTAGATTTTTTTTCCAATGCCTGTTACAGAGGTAGTCCTTCTGTTGTAATTATTTGTTAATTATTTATTTATTATTACGCACCAAGCCTCTCTACCTACCCTTACTGTGGGGATTAAGGCCGTTAATATATCGACCGAGTAAATAAAAAAATGTGTGAACCTCACTTTGCCCCCCTCCCTGTCCCATCATCTCGCACACAAACACACCTAAATAGCGTGAGAGAAATCAACATATATAAAGAGGACCACAGAGACAAAAATCTCTCAGTTCTGCAAGGTCATCCTTGCAGAGTTGAACTGTGCACAAGTTAAAACTATAGAAATCTTGGCCTGTAATAAGATGATTATTATTACTTTTTTTTTACGTGTAATGTGTCAATGCCCAGAGCTATGATGTCAATATCAACCGAAGGACTTTTGAAGGAGTTTAATAAAATTGCATAAAACTTAAATTGCAGGGATCTCAAAACTCATCTGTTCCAACGTTTTGCTGATGTGGGAATTATGAAATTCCTTCTAGAATCCATATCTCTGGATGTAATGGGAGGAGAAATATCGTCCAAGATGGTTTCCCCTTATCTGGTCGGCCCTCCGTTAATCAAAACACTGAAATTTGTTATCAATGTATTGATGCATATACACTTATGGTAGTTTGGGGGTTGTTTTTTGGCCAAACAGGTTTCATCACAAATATTAAACCCCCAAGGACTGATATGGGGGGTCGTAAGCGTCCAGAGTGCTTGGCGTGTGGGAAGAGTTTCCGGGACGTTTCTCAGGTCCTTCGGCATCAGACAGTCCATACGGGAGAGAGGCCTTACAGCTGCCTTGAGTGCGGGCAAAGTTTCACCCAAAAACCGGCCCTCAATAGACACAAGAGAAAACATCTCAGAGGTGAACCCTATGAAGGTATGGATGAAGCTTCAGATGAGGATCCTCTGTGGTTTATCTCTTCTTCCATGAAACTAAACAAGACCTGCTTCAAAGGCATTTGTCTTGAAGGAAGCAAGGCAAATGATGATAGGACAGGGCCTTCTCTGGGGTGGCACCCTGCTTCTGCATCTCACTTCACAGATTTCTGCACCAGCTGTCAATGTGGTAACTTTGCAGCTCCAAGTCAACAGGATGAGGTTTGTAAGTGCTGGAAAAACACTAAGTGGAGGGAAGCTGGTCTAACTGGCATTGAATGGATCTTTTCTATCACTCGCTACCTGTAATGGTATGTGGGAGTGGCCTTGGGAGACAGGAGGAAGAGCCGCAGAGTAGACAATACTGGAATCAGATAAGCAGCAGCTGAGCCTGCAGAAAGAGTGAGGATGTGGCAAACGACTCAGAAGAAACTCTCTCTAGTTTCTTCGACTGTAAAGGTGAAGGGGGAGAGATGCACTTTCAGACTTGTAAGGTTGTTGTTGGCCTTGCAAGGTAGACCACACAAGAAGCACACCCAGAAGTACTAGCTCTAACTTTACTGTAAGCTTACATTAACAGAATCTTGCAAATCTGAAAGGGCCCTCCCTAGTTTCTTGGGCTATAAAGAAGGAGGGAGAGGTGTACTTTATCTCTCCCCCCTTCTTTACAGCCCAAGAAACTAGGGAGGGTCCCTTTTGAGATGTTCACCACCCCCACATTCCTTCTGCAGGTTCAGCTGCCTCTTATCTGACTACAGTATTGTCTAGTCTGCTGCTCTTCCTCCTGTCTCCCAAGGTCATTCCCACATACCATTATACTATCAGATAGCATCTTTCTGGAAATGCTCTGAACTGGGTTTTAGGAGAGCCATACAAATTAGGCTTTTTCGGAAAGCCTTGTGAGGGGATTAGATATAAGTTGGGAGCCCCCTCCCCATGTTGACTTTGTATGCTTATTGTTCCTTCATGTTTTTTTTTAAATTTTCTTTACGGCTGCTTCTACCCTTGTTAGGTTTGTTACTTGATTACACCGGTTTACTAGTTTAATCTTCTTCCTCTAAGAACGGAAGGTGAGCCACTCGGAGTCCTGTTGGATTGGAGCAGCATAGAAACCTCATTAAGTCAAGTACGATAAATCAAATAAATGGAATCAAGCTGATGTGCAAAAATGTATCCTACCAAGGAGCCGTGGGGTTTCTGCAGAGGGAGTTAGTTCTCAGAGTCAGTAGAAAATAACGTGAGAGGAAATCTGAGCGTTGCACAGACAACGGACAGAGGAGAGAGGCCAGGCCATGCAAAGCAGCCCGTTACTTAGGATGGGAAAGACAAGGAGACGCAAAGGGATGGAACAGTGGTTTCTATATGTAAATGTTCTCGGATCACGGCAGTTGTTGAAACTTTTTCATGATGGCTTCCAAATGTTCTTCGATAAATCTGACTCAGACAAGCTCCTAAGAGAGCCGAGAGCTTAGCTGAGCGGTTCCAGTTTGGCTTCGGTGGAAGAGGAGTGGGGATCTGCCCTTCCTCTGTGCTTCCTTTGACTGGGATATTTAGACTGACTTCCTTTCCCTACGCAACAACATTTGGACCCTCTTTCTCTTCCTTACTGCAGGAGACCAGGAACGGCCCAGGAACCACGAAAATAGCCGTGTGGACGTGGCAGCCCCTTCCCGGCCCTGGCCCCCCCAAACGTTCCCGGAGAACAGGGTGGGCCCCTTTGCCAGCAGTGTGGGAGAGTGGCCGTTGATGAACCAGCATCCCGAGGCTGCCTCTGGCGCGGTCCAGGAAGGCGAAACGGCAAGGAAAACCATAAGCCGTCGGGGACAAAAGAAATACTGGTGCTTTATCTGCATCAAAGGCTTCCGCGACAAGGCGGACTTGGTGAGGCATGACCGGATCCACACAGGGGAGAAACCTTACGCCTGCCTGGACTGCGGAAGGAAATTCAGCTACACGTCCAGCTTGTACAAGCACCAGCTGATCCACAGGAGACCAGGTAGTCCAGAAGGGAAACAGTTCAGAGGGATGTCCTCAGACTACAGCACAGATGACTTTTCAGCCATGCATACGGCCTCCTTCGGCTCCCTTGATGGCAGCAGAGGGTGGAGGAACGGAGTGAAGCTGGAGGGGAGCGAGGGAAAGTCGCACATGGGGCCTTATCGGTAGGAAAGGCCGCTGAGCGATCAAGCGGCTTGGCTTTTGACATTTCAGCAATCTAATTCAAAGCGGTTGGCTTAGCCTTCCCCCGCCTGATGCCTTTCAGATGAAGTGGCATCTGGTAAGTCTAGCTTGAGAAGGCTTGGCCAATCCAACGGTTTACAAAACGATTCAAACCAACCAGCCGAATCCCCCCTCTGTGGGTGGGTGTGTACACACACAAACTTGCACCACCGTGTGTTTATGTATATATGTATGTAAAGATGCTTTCTTATCTTTAGCCATAATTATACGATTAATAATATTATTTTATGCACAATATCACTTCAATGACCTCTATTGCATTTTCTCCTTTCTCCGTTCCAATAAAAGGCTAAGCCACCCTTAAATCACAGGAATGTTTCTGGGAGCAGGGGGGGAGAT